TAAAATCCCGTTGCCCCCTGGCTGCGGCTCATCGAACCTGGTGACGAGTTCGAAGTCTTCCCTGCAGGTCCTGTTGAGAGTGGGAGCAGTGCTGTAGTGCTTGAAGAGTACACGTCGCTTTTCTGATGATACCGTCCTTGTTAGGCTAAAAATGATCACTTTCTTCGAAAGCATAAGGTGCAATGGTTTGATACTGGTTCGAAAGATAGTAGCAGGGATGTTATATAGTGGGGAAAACGTAGAAAAGTTATACGGCCAAAGCATGCGAGAAAACCTGCAGTCTGTTTCGCCACGGACGGTTGGGCGTGTCAGGCAGTATGAGTGTGTCATTCCGTCAAAGCCGTTCTCTGCCTTCTTGTTGAAGCGCGCATGCGACAAAAAGTGGTAGAAAACGAGTAATACGAACGATATGATAAGTCATATCATTTGCTCGCTTTAACAACTGGTGGAGAACGGGTTTGGCACCGCGCCAAACTCATCCCGCCTGACACGCCCAACCGTCCGCAGCGAACTACACTATGTTATGCACAGCATTGGATGATCATTTTTGGACGAGTTTCTCGTTGGCATCGTGCCAACAGCCGCTTTGATAGATTCGACTGCACGTGTATGCATACATATATCCATGTAATAGCACTTCATGTCAATTCTATTCATTAACGAGGCGATAGGAGTACCAGCGCCGATGTGACTGCGAGTCACCTGCACCCTCCCCCGATCTACTCTGTGCAGCTATTTGTGGGCGGGCGGTTGCGGTGGGCGTTTGGGTCGGCATGTTATGCCTAGATTAGGCGCTATGGCGGTGCCCTTGGTTGGAGGAGACGCCTTCTAATGGTAAGTGGCACAATATTCTTTCGTGCCTGGCCTATCGACCCTACACCCTTCCCATTTATCGCGAATCTTGCCTTTAGGTAAGGGTTTGACCCATAAGTAATGGCGTTTTTTTCTTACACAAATTTTGGCACAGTTCAACTATTACTACCCCAGTTTTGTGAAAACAGGCCGGATCTTGATCGACTTTTTTCTACGGGGCAGATTTGGCTGAAATTTGGGTTCTAGGGGTAATTCGACCTCGTGAACACGAATATCACATCCACTTGGCCTGAAAGTGCCTGGCGCCCGCGCCACAGGCGCCAGTGATTTAGGGCATTTTGGCGCCGGCGCCTGTGGCGCGGGCGCCAGGCAGTTTCGGGAGAAGCGGATGTGGTATTCGTGTTCAGGACGTAGAATTACCCCTACTACAAAAGTAGTACAAAGGCTATTCCTGCATTCATTTCTCACACGAGCCCTTATTTTTTTCGTAACTTCTGCTTTCTCACAGCGGACGGAGCCCCGTGAGACTGATTGTCATCCCTATGATACTGACAATGAGTTCGATGTACCAAGCTCCTCCACAGGTACAAGAATCCCCGTTTACACATCAACTGTCCACCTAACACCATCCAAACACATTTGCATTTATGGACAGAAGTCGAAATCACAGTATAGTAACAACAAAGGAGGACTGATAACAACAACACGAAGTGCAAATGTGTAACAAAACAGTAGAGAAAATGCTAATGTAGGCAACAAGTCTTCCCAAACTTTGGGAAGTGGGATAAAAAACAGTGGAGGTAACAAACTGGTCAGATGGAAGGAAGAAGGGGGCATTCTGTTGGCTCCTACACTGCTGATGGATCCTCTAGAGATCTCCAAGTTCCTGTGAATCTATTCAACAGCAGGAACCTCGTCTACGCTTGACAAGAGTCTCCACTTCACCATGGTGAGAGGTGTAATTTGACAGGAACGAACCAGCACAAGAAAGTAGGAAATGCAAAATGCACTTTCCCACCCCTCTGAGAAGAACAGCGCCCGAGCAGTAAGATAATCTTCGGGATGAAGCGAAGTCAGGAAGAGATGATAAAGGAACAGTTTCGAACTTATCACAACTTAACGAACCGTATCCATTACCCAGTTCCGGTTAGTTCATAAAAAGAGAGCACAGAGCATTCTCAGCTACCGTCGCTAATCAACATAAAAGGATTTGCTCTGCATATTTCGCTATGAACAGCGCAGCAGACACATGAACGTTGAGGCTTCGAGTCTGGCCGAGCTGCTGAATTTCCACAGTTTGATTAACACACCGTAACAGATTTACTGGAACACCTTCCTTCTCATCTCCAAGGAGCAGAACAGTCTGAAAAAAAGCGTTAGCCAACTCAATGTATCCACTTGAGCAATCAACCATTTTTCTTTTTATTTATATGTTTTTCACTTTAAATTCACCACTTTTCAAACCAAATTCACCACTTTTCAAATCAAATTCACCACTCTTTTTAGACCGGATTCATGGTGAGTGATCAGGGCACATCGTTGTTGGGGAATCCCCTATAGGGGGGGTCGTATTTGGGCTGAGAAAAATTTATTTTATAGTTGATTTTTCTCGTTCCCCCGCACCCCACCCATCGCTTGACAGCTGAACTTTCGCGGAAAAAGTAGGAGTTTCCGGCAGGTTTTGAAAGCGAGCAGAAGTTAGTGGAACTGAGAGCTGGCGAGAACAGGAGGCGGTCGTATTGTCTCGCGGCTTTTCCTGTTTCACATGTGCTATTTACCCCTCCCCCTCTCCCCGCTCGACGGCTCGATTCGATGAGGAGGGACAGAGGGTTGGGGAGGGGGGGGGCTACGAACTCGACCGATCCCCAACCTGATGTGCCCTGTTTGGGAATAAACGGCCAAGTCACAGAGGAACACATAACAGGAATAAATAGCCGTGATCCGCAGTGCGCGGGTATGCACTGAGTGAGTATAATGGGGAAGACAAAAATTTCATAGTGTCGCGGAAAAAGGAGAGGAGGTCAACAGCGCGTTGGTAGACGAAATGGGGAAGAGACATCTGTAGTGGACGGAGCATGAAGTGAATGGGAAATTCATGCCGCAAAAACTCACAACTCGGTTCTGAAACCCTTTAGAGACCACGTGAGAAGGAAGAAGAAGAGATATCCATAACTGAGGTGAACTTGTATGTAGAGACGGGTTAGCGGGTCTTTTAGTAAGAGGAACAAATTTCAAAATTTCGTAATTATGATTCAGAACAGCCCAGGGATGGAGTGACGAATAAATGTAAGAAATGTGTTGGTAGATGAAATGCTCACATGATTGTCCAAGAGCTCCAGATGTTCATACACTTGCGACTAAAAGTTCCCAAATGACTCTTATAAATATGGAAATTGTCGCACCTTCCTAGGGAAATTGAATTTGTGTAAAGAAAACGCTGTCAGTGGTTTGTTCTGCTGCAATAACTGTGTAGCCCTTCGAGCGCATTTCTTCCAAATAGAATAAGAGACGTTCCGGACGAACCTAGAGCAAGACTCCATTATGGTAACGTGAAAATGAATACAAACAAACTTACAAATTCTATTTTTTGTTTCTTTTCGCTTGACATGCTCAGAGCTTTGAAACCAGTGTCAGATAAGAAGACTGGATCAGCGATAACTAACTGATCCACACCGAATATTTCGCAAGTGCGGCATAATCCTGCAAGTATGAAATACGTATGTCAAAGCTTCAACTCTTCAATGGAGCAGGAGAACTATAGCTAATATTGTCGTAGTCAGTCGGGGCGGTGTCATGAGGCGTGGACGGGCCTGCCCCGGACGCGTTTTCTACCAAGAGTGATCGGACTGCGATCGACGCGTGGGCTCATTACACGCCTTTTCAACCGACCCGACTGATGGCGATCAACATTAAGTACCTCCTAGATTGTTAGGCTTGTCGACGAGAGATGCCACAACCACAAGGCTACAGTCCTCGCATGAACTTCTGTCTTTAGTAACGAGCTTGCGTTGAACAAGGGATGACCCTCAAAGGTGGACTGTTGAGATTACAACTGTTCAAAAATGGTTTTCTCGACCGAAGTATTGAAAACCGCTTGAACGTAGAATGCCTGTTCACCTCCATTTCCCAGCGGTTCAACGTCCTGCCCGTCCTCATTCATTTCAGGGGCGCATCGGTTGCTTTTTGAAAGAGCTTAAAACACATACTATTACATATTAGTATGCCCCAATAAGCGACCTATTTTAAACAATTATTACCTGAGTACACTAAGGATTGCGCAGAGATGAAATGGGAATCCTCGTTAGTACTTGCGATTTCCGATGAATTGAACTTCTACAACAGCAAGCAAGCTGATTGTTGCCTTCTTCTGAGAATAGGATCTTTACCTTGAGGAGATCAACGCCAATCGTCTCTTCAGCCGGCATCCCTGTCTTTTCCGGTATTTCTTTCAGAACTGTTTGCATATCGAAGTGGCTTCAAAGGATGCAAATGAGCAAAATAGAAATCCCCTAGCAGGTTTTCTATTATTCGCTTTGAGTTCCTGGAAGAAATGCAATGGTGAAGTGATGCAAGATCTTTAGCGGGTGGCGAAAATGACACTGCGCATCCAGCTTACCCAGCAGGTTCGCCATCAAATTCCACCACCCTTCGCAACAGACTCCATTTCATGAGCTCTTCGTTCGGAAGGCTATTATAGAGTAACCGTAAGGCCGCGACAGCAGTGCACCGCACAGCAAAATTTTGAGCAGTTGTCCACGGTAAAATCAGTTCTATGTAAGGGGCCACCAAAGCCTGAAAATGCTTCAATAGTTTCAAAAGATTGAGGTGGAAAACAATTATGTCTTTACACACCTCCTTTCCTTCCATGCGTGACATTAGAACCATCATATTGATCCATGACGAAACACTCCCAATTCGTTTGTTAGCAAAAGATCTTTCCAAGTCAATCACTCTTTGTTTCAGTTGCATTGAACGAGAAGCTAGACGCACAAGAACCCATTCCAACAAGAGCTTGATAGAAAACTGCTGACATGGATCAACTATCCAATCCACACAGTTCGAAAAAACGACGTTAATCACGTCCTAAATTTGCAGGCTTCGCTGACGTTTCCACGAAAAATACGAATCTTCTCAAGAATATTATAGAAGAGGCTTTCTACGATAGACCACAGTCATCAGTTACGGTCGGAACAGAGAAACCTCCTAAGTCACCAGTGAGACAAATAGAATGGATTAACAAAAAGTTACGTATTTGTTAACTTGCTTTCGGTGTTATTTCGCTACCAGAAAGGAGGACATACCCAGTAAAACAGCCGCCTCGTTTTGCAAGCCTCACACTCCTGCGGGATACCTGGCTTCGTATGAGGCTCCCACCCACACCATTGCGTCCGGCCCAGTGCTTGATTGTCACGCTACCATTCGTAGCCTATGATGTCAGTTCGATAGCTGATGCCAGTTTTTACCACACAGTTTTCCAGCAGTTTCCAATGCATGTCAGAGCGGAACCTCTAATCGATATCACAAGTTTTGTTCGAGGTCACTTCAGTATTGGTTGTTTTTCCAGCACTTCTCGACCGGTGGTACACTATCAGAATATGTAAAATTATGTGAGAAGTGGCAAGATTAGCACGCCGCATCCGTGGTCAAATGCCGGATCGGCCGCCGCCCAGACCAACCAAGCCTTTTTACCCTTCAACGGCAAATTGTTATTGGATAGGTTGTGGGAGGACAAGAACACTGACTTGTACATCGGACCACCGCGAGTCGTTGCATAGGTCACATCGCATTCAAAAAATTACTACGATTCTGAATGGAAGTAGAATGCGTGCCGCATTCCAAAGGGACTGGTCAGCGAAGGATGTTATCCTTTTTTATAGTCCAGCAAGATCTTAAAGGCAGTTGGCACGATGATTTGGTGCTCGGCCTAAAATGCTAGTAGGGCGCTATATAGTGGGGAAATGGCGAAAGAACGGAGTGAAACGGTCAAAATCCTGCGAAGAAAGAGCCTCCGTTCTCACTGTGTTAGTAATCAATTTTGGACGAGTTTCCCGTAGGCATCTTGCCAATAACCGCTACCGAAGGTACGGCTGCATATGTGTACTCATATATCCATGCAGCATCACGGCCGCTTCATACCAATCCCTTCGCTTCATAATTTGCTTAGCAAATGAATGAATGAGCGTCAGGAACGGTCGTCCATTTGTGGGCGGGCGGGCGTGGCGGGCGTTTGGGTCGGAATGTTGTGGCTTGATAGGGCCCTTATAAGGGCACCTTCCTTGGAAAAGGCATTATGCAGCGCCTGCTCAGGGTCGCGGAATTCCGTCCTGCCAGGCGTATTAATCCTACTCGTCTTGGGATTTATCGTGCCAACTGCCTTTACCGGCGAGTGATACTGAATCTACTGTCGAGAAAATAAGGGAGATATCTGATAATTCAGTGTTCAGTGTAACATTAAGGAGCCAAGAAATGCGCAGTTGGGCGAGGGGCAGATGAAGGGCCATTTTGCACCTTCGGTGCTTTCTATTGTCCTGCACAGTCATCGAGTATAGATCTGTGAGATCTTGCGGAGCCATAAAGTGCTGCCACTCAAAATTTCTACAAACTGATTGTCCACTCCCGTATAGCAATTAGCACAATATGAAGGAGCTGAAGAACTGAATGCTCCCTCCCCCATCCCCCACGGTCGCCCAACTGCGCCGCCAAGAAAGTATATTCACAGATTCCAGTCTATGCTTAAATCTCGAGTTTTACAACTCTTTCAATCTACTGCAACTGCTGTAGAGTAGCATAGTAAAACAGCGAAGCATCCATATTATCGTACCTCATCTTGCACATGGTCAGCAATAAGTAGCAATAAAGCCGCCGCACGGGTGTTCTGCCGATGAGCGAGTGACAACCCAAAGGAACTGAAATTAGACATGAATCAACTTTAGAACGAAAGTTATGCTGGTAGTCTTACCGAGAAGAAGCTTTTATTCATAGAGTTGGTCTCAGCAACAATGTGCTCAGCAAGATGTTTCGCGAACATGGAGCTATCCCTAGCAAGACGAAGAGCGAGACAGATGCCATTCAGTCGCGTGCGCTGGAGAACTTCGAACGGCCTAGAACTGGGTCATGCGAAAGCAGGCTTTAACAGGATCCATAAAACTCTTACCTGTGTACATCATCAAAATTGTTAACACGCTCCTCATAAATCATGTCGTATGCAGCATTAAGCACCTTATGCTCCTTTTTTGGTATAGGCCCAAAAACGGCAAGATCGAAAACCTAAAGTCTCCGAACAGCATCATTAAAATATTTGTCAAAATGAGAAGCATCCTTGCACCTTCAACCTACAATGCTGGCCCATGCTTCGCCTTGAGAGTTCGCCCTGCAACTATCCAAAAGGCACTGCGACAGAAGAAGAGCCACTGGTGTGTTTAGTTGGGCTAATTCCAAGAGTTCTGTGCATCTGCTCTGCAAAAAAAATAACTCGAAAAGGAACACAATGAAGAGATGGAAAAAAAACGAACCAGAAGAAGTTGCGTGACATCAGACTGAGCTACTGCGAAGTTTCTTGAGACACAGGCTGCATAAACAAAATCAGGTTGACTCTATTAACATTTCATACTCAATCACTCAACGGAGCTGGTTTACTACGTACCTCAATGTGCGGCGCAAAGCTGGCAAAAAGTGCTGAGATTTTCGCTCCTCATTCATTACGCTGAAAGCAGCTTCCAACAAGGCAAGCAGAGTTTCGGCACAGGAGACCTAAAAGTGTGCTGGTACTGAACAGAATCCGTGAATCACTAAAGACTGGATCGCTGATGACCTTGGGGGGGGGAAGCCTTTGAGGAACTTCTAGTGCAAATTTTGGATGACCGTAACAGAGGTCTAAGACTTTCCCCTAAGCCAGAAAGGGGATAAAGCGGAGAGGCTAATCTAATCAAATCAGTTCCATGACAAGTGCTATCCTAGTTTTGCACAAAAAGCCCTTTGGGAGCCCCTCCTAGGGTTGCTAATGCCATTGCTGACTTCAGTAGAAGAAGTCCGAAATTACTGATGGCAATCTTTTAAGCATCTTCATCGGAAGTAGTAGAAGGTCTGTCACACATTGAGACACTATTCAAATCGAGAAGCGCAAAAATCAGCCTAAGGAATGTCATTAACTAGGATGCGTAGCTGCGGTTTACAATGGGCATTACACGCCTTGATCACACATTTGTAACGATGTACCCTCGTCATCCGGGCAGTTGATTAGGGCGGTCGTCAACGGGCCGCAGCGCGTGCCAGGAACTATTTGCTTTTTCCAGGCTAATTTAGTCATTTTTTCCAACTTTTCACTGTTTTGGCTACTTTTTCCCAGATTAGCAGCTCCTTATCTTCACAAGGTGGAAAAAATGACTAAATTAGCCTGGAAAAAGCAAATAGTTCCTGGCACGCGCTGCGGCCCGTTGACGACCGCCCTAATCAACTGCCCGGATGACGAGGTTACCTGGCTCTCATTAAAAGGAGAGCAGAGGTCTTCATCTCCATTGCGGGGATCCTAGCTTCGCGAAGGGACCCTTTCTCTCTTAGGAATCCACCAAAGTTACTAGGGCCTTGTGGTATGGTTTTCTAGGCTTTTAAGGTATTTGGACGTGAAGACCCGAAAGAATCCAATAAATGGCGGACCTAACAGCTGCCCCTTCCCTGATTGGTCGTTGTATCCATAGCTGGTTTGAGAATTTGAAGGCAAAGTTCATGCCATTCATATGGGCGGGGTAGGTCCTACTACAGTGGATGCGCTTTTACGTTCTGAGGCGATGGAGTAATTGAGACGGCTTGCCTTCCCCAAATGGACAGATCTGTGCTTTGAGCTCCAAGAAGTAATAGTTGCTTATGGACGCAAATTTAATGTCCCTTCACCGCCAATCTGCCAGTCTGGCTGACTCGAGAATGCGCAATTCAAGCTTCCTATATTAGAACGTGAGCAGGTATTTTGCCCTCAGTTGCCGCTACCACCAAATTTATCCTCGATGCTTGGGGCTATCCGTACACACAGGAATGATGTGCGTAGACCAAAACATGTCTTAGTTCTTCCTCAAAAATGTTGAAACCACGGCCCAGGTTTTACTACTGCTTCATTCTTCTTAGGTTTCGGCTTAATCGCCTTAGCGGGAACCTTCTGAACGTACAGCTGCCTCACGCTTTTGACCTTCGCTGAACCCAAAGACCACACACCTCGCCATGGCTCAGGAGGAAGCCGATCGTGAGAGAGAGTAGTCCACTCCGATCGTGTGGGCAGCGGGGGACCAGCAATTGTGCATTGATGCACCCTTGCTTCCTGCGAACGCGAGTGGAGGGGAGAGGTTCAATGAAGATAAGGCCATGGGAGGAGCACCGGGCAGTGCAATCAGTTAGCACCCTGCTAAATTGGTGCATTACCCCTGCGACAGAGCGAAGCGAAGATACTCTGTCTATTGTTTATTTTACAGAAAAAAAACTACATTCACCTCACATATATTCGTATCTTTGTATAACGATTTCATGCTTCTATTTTTCCAGGACGACATGCGCTCATTATCGTCGGGCTCATCAGGCTACGGTTCAGTGCAAACCGAATGCGAACCACCCGCATTTCCAGCACCAACGGCTCCTCAGCCACCACCAGCTGGTGTTGGAACTCAAGCCACTTCACAGACTCAGTTTGGTGCGTCTGAAGCCGAACTGCTTCCGTCGATCTACGATTTCAATTTTACCGCTGCGGTAAACGCTTCAAATGGTTGGAGCGAAATGTGGCAGAATCACTTTGCGAACGGGCACGCGTTCGATCACATTCCCATCTAGGGACGAGGTAAGTGCGGCTATGGACGCCATTTGTGAGCTCCAAGGCTCACTACTCGTCCCCAGACGGGACGGCTCATGTCGGTCGTCTCGTCGTCGTTGTTCGTCTAGTGATCTTCACAGTGATAAAATCGATCTACGATCTTTTCTGTACAAAGGGCCATTTCTACGAATGCGTGTGTTCGTGCGTTTGTGTCTATCTGTCTATCTGTTTTCCTCTTCTCTCTCTTTCGTTTCTTTCATTATTCATCTTCAGAAGTGTTTCTGCTTTTGCAAAACCCCCGGTCTGACGTTTGAGAGGCCGCCGTCGACTTCTACAGTCGACGTCGTCATCGCTGCCGGTGTAGATCACTCAGTATTCACTCATGTACTCATCGGTATTACTGTTATCCTCTAGCTGGATTAGTCTTGTTTTCCATGACTGTGCATTCGAATTCGGGCTAAATCGCTCGAGAATCGGCGCTTTTTCAGACACGCTTGCGCAAAAGGAGTTGGGGTTTAGTTAGGGTATAGAGATTACATCCCTTGAGTTGAGCTTACCATAGGGTTAGCACAAAGCTCTCACCTGAACTGGATTGCCTGACGCTCGAAAATTTCAGATGGTTCTCAGAGAACACAGGGTTACTCTTATGAGCGTTCATCTGGGAGCTCACACTTTTCACTCGTAGGGCTCGACATCAATTGTGACCCCAGCTCAGAACTCGGAATTGAGGAAAAACCAAACTCTCAGTGACTACAGAGGTATGCAAAAGTTTGAGTGCGAGTTCAGGGCTAAAGGGAACCCCGGAAAGGACAGCAAGAGCTATGCTCACAAAGCCTCGGGCTATAGTTCTCCCTGGCCGGAAATACGCTTCATTGGACAAGCTCAACTCCCCCATCTACCGCATCAAACGATTAATGCCCCAATTTTTATCCTAACACTTGTTTTAGTCTGTTCAAATCTGACTAGAGAACAGGTTTTCAAGATATGGGAAGGATCTATTACTGGTTATTTTTGTGGAGACTGTAAGACTTGCAGAAGCGGGCATTAACCTCAGTCCGAGCCGAAGTCGAGCGTCTGCAAAACAGGAAACGCAGAATCAGAGTCATTACTTTCGGCCCATATCGAAAGTTAACGTCTTCAACCGCGGTTTGGGTAGTCACAGCTGACTATGGAAAATAGTCTGTATGGTTTGCGCGCGAACGCCGCGACCCATAGACCAGGATATGCATGTGTAATGGAAAAATCCCTTTTCAGGCAGTGTTCGACTTTGCGATGACGCGTTTTTTTCTTTTAGATACGAATTAATATTTGTTGAAAGTGTGCACTCTCTGTTTAGCAAAATTGCTACGATTTCGAATATGAGAACGCGGGTGCCTTGCAGTTTTAGACTCTAATAAACGTTCATCATCAGACCTTTTTGTTCTGGCTCTGATCCTATTTGAGAAGTATATACGTAGCCCTCGCTCAATTCCTACCCACTGCGCCCACTTTTTTCGAAATCTCTATGAGCCCAAATTCAAACGCGCAGTCATTCTATCATCGTCTAGACAGTATTTCGTACTAGTAATCGGCCATTCTACCGTCCACTTTCAGGTCGGCATAATGTTATATGTCTTTGTTTTTTTTCTTCGTTGTGGATATAGAGATCCTCCCTCTCAATTACACATATATATCGGACCACTTTCCATACAACGAACCTCATCGCTCTAGATTCATACCATCCATTCGGAGTCAAGCTTTATTACCTTTTTTCTTTTTGTTCAATCGATTTTCTCCATTTTGGAATCGATTTCCCGTGTTTCTCGTTTGCGTATCCCACACGTCGTGTGTTCTACTCGTCGTACGTGCTGTTACTGACATTTTGAGAATCGTAATAATTTTGAGATAGCCGTAGATGATTTGATTACCCTTTCTCCGGGCTCCTTCGCTCTCTCACAAATCCATATCCGAAATGTATGCTAAGTTTGAAATAATTATAGATTATAAACAAATAAATGTGAAGATAATTGTGAGCTGATTGTCAACCTTGAGAATGTCTAGAAATGGCAAACAAATGATGCCATTTGAAGCAGACTTAAAGACACACTTCTCAGTCGGGGGGAGGGGGCGGGTTTCTGTGGTCTACATACGACTTTTTAGTGTCAACTGACTCATCGATAATAAAAGGTGCAGAAGCAATCATCGACAGCTTTTTGAATGAGGCTCTAATACTTGCAGTCAATTTTTTTATTTTGAGTATTGGACGAGTTTTTTGGCTTTCAGGACAGCGCTCAGACTTTGCGACGACGCGCGCCAACGCGCTACCAATGCAAATGTGCTCCAACGCTGCAGAGAGGGACGCAGCAATAGATGGGTATCGATCGGCTACCACCACTATTGTTTTGGGAGGGTAGGAGAATAGGAGGTTACGCGTTGCCTAATCACATAGTCTGACATCG